ACGACCTGACCCGCTGGACAGCCGACCCGACGAGCCAGGACAGCTGCGAAGTCGCCTTGAAGCGCTGCGATATCGTCGGCAAGATGATATGCCACCCGCGACCAGCGACACGCCTCCCGAAGTCCCGTGACGCGCCAGCCCGACAAATCCGACGCATGCGATCCGATTACGCGACCTGACCCGGTTTTTCCATTCGTGATCAAATCTCGTTCGTGTGTTCATCCCGGTCAATCCTATTTGAAGATCAACTAGATCGCTATAAATTTTAAGCCGTAAGTTTTTTACGTCAAACCTTTAAATCCGATGCGTATAGGTTTACATTTGCTATTGAATTCGTGATTTATACATAACGAGATCCTCACAGATCCTAACAAGTGGTCAGAGCACTTGGTTAATTCATTTTGTACAAAGTTCGAATTTTTACGGCTTTATTTGACAAGATGTGTTCAAACACAGCTACATATTGAATTATATTCCCATAACCCAATTTTGCAGAAATTAGTTTAATCCACTATTATGGTCGATTATGTGTTTGATGAATGTTTAGTTGGACTATGATACCAGTTGTTGGGTTCGGTGAAGAACGTCGACTCATATGCTCATCCAAATACTATTGAATTGAATTCTATATATTGTTAAGATTGAGGACCTACATTTTGAACTTTCGCAGACTCCAAGACGTTTCTAATTATTGTTGATGGAGATCGTCTGAATCTCGTTTGTTCGTCGAGCGTCATCGAAGGACCACCGAGGTGTGTCGGAATGTTGCGCGTGGGTCGCGGGGACTGCTCCGCATGAAGTTCGCGGAATGTCGGGCCACCAGAGTCACGTCGCGATGCCTGCTGGGGGTCTCCAGGACGCGTTGCGCGTGTCGTAAGAGCACGAGATTGGAACTTCGCCAACGCTGCCACCCTTGCAGCGGAGAGCGGTGTTGCTGGTGTACCTAAAGCCGACAAAGTTGTGGTTGGTGATGGAGATGCAAAGCTCGAGGATGTGGTTCAGGTGTAGACTCAGCCTAGCCAAATCAAGATCTTCGAGGCAGACGAAATAAAAGGAGGTGCAAAAGAATTTGACCTTGAATAATGGCCATGTCAACTGTAATATGGTCAACATTAAAACACTCCTACAATTACGTGATTGATTTTGATATTTTACTATGTAAGTTGTCACACAAGTGATAACTAGCCAAAGTTGTAAGAGTTAAAAGGACATGTATTGTCGTTGTCTTTTTCATGTCAAATTAAATTTTCAGCAACAATTATCCTGATTTTAATTGAATTTTAAAATATACAGGACAACTAATTTTGTAATTCACCATTCCAACTAACCCATGTTGAAACAACTCTGAAGTTATTAGAGGTATATTTTAATATTTTCCCACATTCCTAGAGTAGTACTAATGCATAATAACACAACTTGTTTGCAGACTTAGACGGCCGTGAAAAGTCAATCTCATTGCGATCATTACTCCTTTTTAAGTCAGCATTGACTTATTCTTTGGTTCATCATAAAATCAAGATTTGCCATGTGAAGGCGATCGAACTGTCCCAGTTGAAAACCGCAGCCTAAATCATGTTAGAAGTCCATTTTTTTTTTTTTTTGTACAGGGACCTTTGGGTTTCTGGATTCACAGGGGAACCGATTAATCCAGAATCGAGCCGGGTAGGACCACAAGGGCGGCAAAACTCTCCCTCAAGAGTTTTTAACATTGCTGCATTCCCAAGGCTCAAACACGAGAACAGTGGTATGTGCAAAATGCCTTGAGAGTTGTCCAATAGATTTGTTTAATTTGATTTCTTCGGAACAACCAGCTGCTGGCAGCTCATAGTTTAGGGAATAAAAATTGCACAAAAAACTCATAATTTAAAAGTAAATCAAACAGCCCAATTGGTCTCCATTTGTCAATCAAATTAGAAACTAAAATAAGCCAATTGGCAAATAAAATATCCTCACGGGGTCAACTACGTACATACATACATACATACAATCTTATAATTACTAAATTGCGAGCAACAAAAATAAAAGGGTCACCAAGTAATATCATCTGCTCTTTCCAAGAACAATTATGGACTCCCACAGTCTTCTCCTCATTATTTCAGCTCTACTTGTCTCCACCATTTTCTCAGTCTCAGCTGATGGTAAACCATTTTAAGCTCCATGCAACAACTAAATTCTTTTATATAAATATGTAAAATTTATTTGGATCGATAAAATTCAACAGTGTTTGCAAGCATCGACTGCGGGTCCCCGGACGTGTACACGGACGAGAACCTGATCGTGTGGACGGGGGACAGCGACCACATTCAGAACGGGGAAATCCGGTCCGTCCGGAGTCCCACGGTGTCCCGCGTGATGGACACGCTCAGGGTTTTCTCGAGCCGGAGGAAGAACTGCTACTCCATCCCCGGGGTCTCTACGGGGGAACGCGTGCAGTTACGCGCCAGCTTTCACTATGGGAACTACGACGGGAGGGCTTCGCCCCCGACTTTCGATCTCCAGTTCGATGGGAACCGCTGGACCACGGTGGAGACGTCGAGCACGCAACCCGTGATCTACGAGGCTATTTATGTGGCCAAGGGAGAGTACGTGAGCGTTTGTGTTGCCCAGACGAGGGCCGGGGAGCTCCCGTTCATATCGGCCCTCGAGGTGCGGAGCTTGGACCCCACAATGTATAGCCACGTCGACAAGAATTATCCTCTGCTTTTAGTGACGAGGGTCGCCTACGGTGCGAATCAAACTATTAGGTATGGTTGTTCTCCTTTTTCTTTTTAAAATTTCTTAATACAATGCTTTGTTTACATTTGTTATATACATTTATTATCTTGCCACGCTTTAGTAATAAATTTAATTCTTTTTTTTAGAAAGCATTTTTGTTGAATCCCAATATATTGCAGCTTGAGTGTATTACTTTTTTAAAGTTAGTGAGATTATTTGCGATTTTCACTATCATGCGGGACCGAAAATGGCACCCCCTATATCTATAGGACGAGCTTTGAATTTTTTCCTTATCAATTTAGTATGCCAAAATATATACTTTGCTCATGACAAATTAACAAAAATCTTTTGAAATTTTTATGAACATAAGATGCGATTTCATGTGGATGTCCCTCAAAGAATTTCTCTTTATAGATCGTTTCCCTTGTATAAGGAAAAAATAAAAAGAAATGCTTTGTCAAACCAAGAACACAATATGATACAACACATAACAAAACATAATACAATCTATCTACAGGTACACAGATGACCCTTATGACAGAATATGGACACCAGTACCAGGTGGGACCGGGTTGACTAGTGTTGCGTCCGATGCTATTTTCATCGACAATAGTGTGCCAGATAACCCTCCCTCTGCAGTTCTACAAAATGCCGTCACTACAACGACACCTTCAGGTGAAATCCAACTACCCACAGCCTTGCCTCCCGGCCAAACACCTATCTACCTCAACATGTACTTTTCCGAGGTCACTCAACTTGACACTACCCAAAGGAGATCCTTCCAAGTTCTTATGGACACTGAGCCTCTCATGGATCAACCCATCCTACCGCCTTATGGGAGCTGCAGGGAACTGTATGCTAGCAACCTCACTGTCTCATCGAACGCTACTTTTTCTCTTGTACCGACTAAGGACTCAACTCTGCCTCCCCTCATCAACGCCATGGAAGTTTTCTCGATTGGGGATGTTTTGACGGATGGAACCGACACCAAAGATGGTGAGGATTTCAAATTTTACGCATATAAGTGAGTCGAGTCATTGTGATGGATTATTGATGTCATTTTTTTTTCATGTTATGCATGTGTGTGTATACATGTAACAAACTATATTGTGGTGAACCAGTGGAAGGATTAGCTTCTTTGCAAAACGAATTTGCTGTTTTACAAGAGTGGAGTGGCGACCCATGTCTCCCGGCACCTTATTCATGGGATTGGATCAATTGTACTACCGATTATCCACCACGAGTATCAGCATTGTAATTACCATAAACTCTTAAGTCTTATACATACTCTTGTGTTTCTTACTTCAATTTAGTACTTAATTTTTTTTTTTTCTAGGACTTGTTTTGGAATTTACCTAAAGTCTTATCATGTGGTTTATGGTCTCCCTTCTTGATAGGTATCTGAGTAGCTTTGATCTCTCAGGGAAAATTCCAGATTTTAGCTCCATGGATGCTTTGGTAACAATGTAAGTATATATCGTATATTTTATACCACATTAACTAAAGAAGACTAAGAAGAATACTTTGCTATGCCTAATTGTAATTGATGTTATTTTCTTGATTTCACAGTGATTTTCGAAATAACAGCTTGAATGGACCGATTCCTGAGTTCCTTGCCACATTTCCTAATCTCAAACAATTGTGAGTGTGTACATGTAGACGTACAGTCAGACACAGAGAGATACGCATACACACACTTTGCATGTTCGCGCGTTTGGCTTTTTCATCACCATGCTTAGTTTTTCTTGATAATTCACACAAGATTTAAATTGCGACAGGAATCTTGCAAGCAACCAGTTAACAGGTTCTGTGCCAAACTCATTGGCAAAGAAAAATGGGTTGAATTTAGTGTAAGAACAACACTCGATCATCACTTTTATTACAATATATATAAAGTTTGCATAAAATGCGAATGATGATGACCGTTATATATATTCAGAGTTCGCAACAATCCAGAGCTATGCACGTCGGGGAACTCGTGTACAACCGCAACAAGTTCAGTATCAGAGGATCCTACAGGATTGAGCCCATCGGGCACAAGTACAAAGAATAAGAGAAAAAACAAGAAATTGCCTGTAATACTTGGGACCACAATCCCAAGTACTATTGTCATATGGGCATTAGTGGGAATTTTCATCATACTACGGCGCAGGAGAAAACCCGTTGCTGTGGCTACATCCAACTCAGGTGAGAAGATCATTTCTCCACTTCTTTTTTTTTTTTAATTTAATTATTATTTTTTTTATTCAAGATCCATACATTGTAGAAAGGTGAATATTATAACCGGAGAAGAGAGTGAGGTTCCACCAGGTGAAGCGCACTATAAGAGGATGAGTACTCTAAGTGCACTTTAGTGAGGTTTCATCTAAAAATCAATTGGTGATGGGAGGAGTAACACACTAGGCTCGTTTTCTTTATAGAATCATTGTAGGACAATTCACAAGTGATATTAGAAAAATGTTAGGAACCATAGAAGATCATATACTATGAACTGGATTTATTTATTGAATCAAGACAATTGGAGTAAATATCTAACTATATGATAATATACATTGGTAGAAAAATGCTATAGGTTTTGAAATAGTAAAAAAAAAAAATTAAAAATAAAATAAAACGCCATAAAAGAATCCTCCAAACAATATAATATAATCATCAAGAGGTATTTTTCCCATATCTTCTAACAAAAAACAAATAAAATCTAGAATTATTCTTTCGTGATAATTTTTTGTTATTATAAATTGGCCTTTATACGTGCAGATTTTTATTGATATAAAAAGATTATTTATTATTTAACTATTAAAGTATATTTTAACTATATTCTTATCACCTATGCTATGTTGTCATAAACAAATATCATACTTACCTATCTTGCCATCTCTTTCTTTTTGTAATAAGTAGATTTACGAAAATATATGTATATATATATATTCATTGTTCATTAAATTTCTAAAATTTGAATGTGTAACTTAAGGTACTCTATCACCGTTTTTTATTTTATTTTATTTTTTTTTTCTATAATTTTATCACACAATGGTAAAACTGGTCGGAGATTTCAAATATGAATAGAACTCATACTAAAAACAATTATTGTTTAAATTTTAAATTTTACATCGTGTCACGAGAAATCACGTTGAGCTATTGATCTTTAACTATCAACGCTTTTATTGCCTTCATATGTTTTATTTTTGAGATATTGTAGGACATCAAGGAGGTAACAAGCCACAACCTGCTACATCACCTATAAACCCTCACATGATAGGTAAAGTAAGTCAGACGATTTTGGATGAAGTGAAGGCGAACATAGAGGATCAAATTTCTGATTCAATTAATCAACAACTAAATGGAAGTATTTCCAATTGTTGATCAATAAAATATGTTGAATGACTAAGGTCAAGTCAATGATTTTTAAGTTTGTTTTTTATAAAATGTGTGCTTTTTTTTTTTTTTTTTTTTTTTTTT